CCCCCTGCCCGCCCCGGCCACGGGGGACGGGCCTTACTCCCCACTACTCGACCGCCCGCCTGAGGCTCCTCCCGCCGGGGGGCTGGAGTCGCGGGGGCGGCCCGAGAAGTGCAGACCCCGCCCGGGCCAACCGCCTCTCTGGCCCGCCCTTTGGTCGCCGCCTGCCCCCAAGGCCCTCCCCCACTTTCTGTAGATTTCCCCTCCCCCCCACCGTCCCGCCCTTTCCACGCCCCTCACCCCGAAACCGCCCTGTAGCTCTAGGGCCCGCCTTCTCCCCGCCCCGAAATCTTTTGCTTTCTAACTCGCAAGACCCCTTTAGCCACTTACCTGTATTTAGCAATGTTTCCCCAGTCACACTTTTTACCTCATGTTTTCTCTTTTTCTTACTCTCTCTTGTTACTTTTTACACTTGTATTTTTTTTCTTTATCTGTTTCAACACTAATTTTAGCAAGCTTTCCATCCACCCACATGTTTTTGCCCTACCTGTCCTCCTTTTTTTCCCCTGGCATATTTTTTATTTTAAAACTCTTTGAACGTACCCACAATCCCTCACATTGCCCATTCCAGAAGCATTTTTTGAATGTTTTCTGAGTTTAATTTTGTACAGAGGAAAAATTGAGACCCAGTTCTGGCACCACAGAACCTAGTTCTCATCCTAGTGTCCTACAGCTCCCCCTCAAATCCATTTTCTTTACACAGGCACCTCTCACCTTATTGTTAGTCATTTCTGTTTCATCATAACCCCTTTTTAAAAAGTTGTTTATCTTTTTTTTCCTTTTTAGAGCAAGATCACTCCATGGATGAAATGACAGCCGTGGTGAAGATTGAAAAAGGAGTTGGTGGCAATAATGGGGGCAATGGTAATGGTGGTGGTGCCTTTTCTCAGGCTCGAAGCAGTAGCACAGGCAGTAACAGCAGTGGAGGAGGAGGAGGGCAGGTAAGTGGTGATCAGAGATGAAGGGTGGGGCAAATGTTGAGAGGGTGTGAATACTCCTAGATAATTGTTTTATCTCAGAAGGAAAATTTAGGAAGGGAGACTAAACCATTTTATAGATAGAGGAAGTAAGTATAGAGAAACAAATTACGTAGAGATCCCCAAAAATGGGAATTTCAGCAATATAAGATAGGTTGACTTTGTGTTTCTGGTTTTTGCTATTTGTCTGCACTATTTTGTTCTTTATTTGTTGTGTGCTGCCCCCTGAGCTGGCAGCTGCATGTCAATAACTCCTTTTCTCTCCCTTATTTTCTGGCCAGGAGTCCCAGCCATCCCCTTTGGCTCTTCTGGCAGCAACTTGCAGCAGAATTGAGTCACCCAATGAGAACAGCAACAACTCCCAGGGCCCAAGCCAGTCAGGGGGCACCGGTGAACTGGACCTTGCAGCCACACAACTCTCACAGGGCGCCAATGGCTGGCAGATTATCTCTTCCTCCTCTGGGGCTACCCCTACCTCAAAGGAACAGAGTGGCAGCAGTACTAATGGCAGCGAGTCTTCCAAGAATCGCACGGTCTCTGGTGGGCAGTATGTTGTGGCTGCCACCCCGAATTTACAGAACCAGCAAGTCCTGACAGGACTACCTGGGGTGATGCCCAATATTCAGTATCAAGTAATCCCACAGTTTCAGACTGTTGATGGGCAACAGCTGCAATTTGCAGCCACTGGGGCCCAAGTTCAGCAGGATGGGTCTGGTCAAATTCAGATCATACCAGGTGCAAACCAACAGATCATCACAAATCGAGGAAGTGGAGGCAACATCATTGCTGCTATGCCAAACCTGCTCCAACAGGCTGTCCCCCTTCAAGGTCTGGCTAATAATGTTCTCTCAGGGCAGACTCAGTATGTGACCAATGTACCAGTGGCCCTCAACGGGAACATCACCTTGCTACCTGTCAATAGCGTTTCTGCAGCTACCTTGACTCCCAGCTCTCAGGCAGTCACGATCAGCAACTCTGGCTCCCAGGAGAGTGGCTCACAGCCTGTCACCTCAGGGACTGCCATCAGTTCTGCCAGCCTGGTATCATCACAAGCCAGTTCCAGCTCCTTTTTCACCAATGCCAATAGCTACTCAACAACTACTACCACCAGCAACATGGGAATTATGAACTTTACCACCAGCGGATCAGCAGGGACCAACTCTCAAGGCCAGACACCCCAGAGGATCAGTGGACTACAGGGGTCTGATGCTCTGAACATCCAGCAGAACCAGGCATCTGGAGGTTCACTACAAACAAGTCAGCAAAAAGAGGGAGAGCAAAACCAGCAAACACAGCAACAACAACAGATTCTTATTCAGCCTCAGCTAGTTCAAGGGGGACAGGCCCTCCAGGCCCTTCAAGCAGCACCACTGTCAGGGCAGACCTTTACAACTCAAGCTATCTCCCAGGAAACCCTCCAGAACCTCCAGCTTCAGGCTGTTCCAAACTCTGGCCCCATCATCATCCGGACACCAACAGTGGGGCCTAATGGACAGGTCAGTTGGCAGACTCTTCAGCTGCAGAACCTCCAAGTTCAGAACCCACAGGCCCAGACAATCACCTTGGCTCCAATGCAGGGTGTTTCCTTGGGGCAGACAAGCAGTAGCAACACCACCCTTACACCCATTGCCTCAGCCGCCTCCATCCCTGCTGGCACAGTCACTGTGAATGCTGCCCAGCTCTCCTCCATGCCAGGCCTCCAGACCATTAACCTCAGTGCATTGGGTGCTTCAGGAATCCAGGTGCACCAACTTCCAGGCCTGCCGTTGACTATAGCAAATGCCTCAGGTAAGACTTAAAGTCCTTTGTATTTCCCGAGCTAACTCCAGAATCTTAGCTGAAACTACTGAGTCTTAGGGGTAGAATAGATTGCCTTTTTGGGGTAGCAACTTTCTTGAGGGTTAGTCACTTAGGCAAGTCAATTACAGAACTAGCAGTGGTTGTTTTTAAGTCATTTGAAACCAGATTAACTGGAACCCCCAATTAATCTAATGAGAAAGGAGCATTTCTGGGGAATGTCTTGGTGTCTCTGTAATTCCAGTATCTTTAGTACTATAGAGGTCTGCAAACTTTCTGTAAGGGCCAGATAGTAAATATTTTAGGTTTTGTGGGCCACATGTGGCCTCTGTCACATATTTTTTGCTTATTTGTTTTACAGCCCTTTAAACACATGAAAGTATTCTTAGCTTCAGGGCTGTATTTGGGTGGTGGACCATAGTTTGCCAATCCCTGCATAGAATTAAGAATTGATAAGAATTAAAAATTGATTATAAACTTGACCTATTGGTAGAACAGTTGTTGAATCATTAGGTGTTTCTCTTGAATTTTGTAACTCCTAAGTAAGAGAAAATTAATGAATTCCAGAAAGATTTTTCAACAAAATAGATTCCCTGGTTAATCTTTAGTTAACCAGGATATCCTACTCTCTGAGCTGGTTAATCATGGTTTATTTTTTTACTCCCAGTTACTTTAAAAGCAGAATTCCTCATACTACTGTATCTTTTTAATGAGCTTTCTAGATGACTCCTATACTTTGTTGGTAGAGAACCACTTCTTAAGACTGCTTTAGAAAGTGCTGTGTATGGTTGAGGAGGGAGGGGAGAGAAGCTGGGATGTGCAGTAGAGTTGAGGTAGGAGTGAAGAGAGCATTGAAGGAAAAAATATGGAAAAGGTACATATTGGAATATATATTCAATCAGTTGACTGCACTATTCAGTCAGTCGTTTTTAACAGTGTTTCTATTGGTTAATTTGAAATTTAAAACATCCATTAAAGAAGGTGGGAATGAAAGTCTGTGTAGAATTTAACATTTAAATTCCATCACAGTGGAGCTAATCTTTAATAAAGTAAAACAAAAGATTACATATACATCTTTATATATATACAAATTATAATGGAAAATGGTTTAATACCACCAGAATTCTAATTCTGTTGCAATATATAGGTTTATGAATTGTTTACTTTTGCTGTAGCACATTCTCATTCCCTTTAAGCTGGTTCTTTGTAAGTGATGATAACAAATAGTATTTCCTGCCTCCTGCAGGAAATATTTTTAAAAATATTAAAAAAAAATATTTTAAAAGATTTTAAAAAATCTGGGGCGGGGAAGTCTTACTAAAGTTTCCTAATTTTCTTATATTCTCCGTTGTGTATAAAATGACTAAATTTTGCTCTTTAATATTTAAAAAGACAGTAGTTTTTTTAGTGAATTGAAGATCTTGGACTAGAAAATGAGAGCTGGAAGGTACCTAAAAAATAAACTTGTACAACTGCCTTATTTTTTAGATGAAAAAACTGGAGTAGTGAGAAAGCTGTTAAGTGATGAGACAACAGCCAGCCATTGGCAGTGCTGGGCCTCACAGTTGTCCAATTCCTGGTTTTAGTTTAGCACTTGAGAAATCTTTAGGATTGTTGAAAATATTTAAGAAAATATGTTTTTGCTTCTTTAAAATTTAGTGTTTTAGGAGCTGACAGGTGTTTTGTAGGCTAAAAGGCTTCACCTAAAAGGAATAGAATTGGAAAAGGTCTTGAAAAACTGAACTCAATAGTTTGGAAAATTAAACGCTTTCTGGGTAATGTATACCGCATGTTTGTTTTCACTTTGCTCTGCAGTAGTTGTATCCAGCAGTTTTGCTTTTCTTCAGAGGAAAACAAGGCTGTGAGATTCTTTTTAAATTAATAATAATTTGGATCCTTGTAATTTCTAAAAGGTTTATAACTTGAGCTCTAGAGAATAGTTATGAGGCATTCTGATTGCCCAATCATGTTCTGGGGAAGTCTGCCATTTAATATGTCATAGGATAGGGCTACCTAGCAGTTATTGATGGTCTCTGAGCTCAAGAAAATGCATGCCTTCTGTAAGGTAGCAGCAGCTTGACATTCACTAATGACAGAATGAGGCACACTGAAAGGCCATTTTGTGAGGATTGAAATTGTTTGCTTCATCAGTAGTGGTTTCTGGAGATACAAGTTTGATATAAGTTTCCTCTTTTCTAGTTAGTCATAATTGTGCAACATATTTTCTCCTTTTAATTGATCTGACTTTATCCTTAATGAACAATAATAAAATCATATCCTGGAAGCTTAATGTTGTTCAGCTGTTGCCTGGCTGCTGTAAAGTATCTCATTTTACCCCCTTTTCTGACATACAGATTGTTACTGGAAAAATTCAACCTCTTGACAGTATGATGTAGTAGAAAGAGCATTGGGTGTGATATTTTGTTGTAAGATGTATAGATATATAATTGTATATCTTATATATATAAGATATGTGTATATAAGATATATATATAGATATGTGTGTATCTTGTGTTTATATATTGTTGTTGTTGTTATGTGCCATCGAGTTGGACCTGACCCATAGAGACCCCTCCTTGGGTTTCCGAGGCAGTATCACTAGGGAAGTAGATTGTCCAGCCTTCCTTCCAAGGAGTGGCTGGTGGGTTTGAACTGCCAGCCTTCTGGTTAGCAGTCAAGTGCCTTAGGCACTATGCTACCAGAGCTCCTTGTTTATATATAAAAGGTATATATATATAAGATGTATATAGATATGTATATATCTCTTTCTTTCTCTACAAAGTAATATTACATAGTTGTAGAAGATTACATCTTAGTATTAGTCACTTTGTTTACATTTATTATTTTTTAAAAATATTCTTTTAAAAATCTATTAAGCTTTCCTCTTGACTTTCCCTCTGCTTTGGTTTGCTGAATACACAGGCAAAAACACAAAGACCCAAAATAAACCAGCACCTCTATTGATTTTCATGGCTCTGCCCCTGGTGGGTGGTAGTGAGGAAGGAACCACCCATTGTACTGAGTTTAGTTTCCAGGCAGTGAAATGATCTGTGTACTATTAATTTTCTGTTTTCAAGACATACATGGCTCTGCCCCTGGTGGGGTATACCCTTACCTCTTTATCAGCATCCTTTCCTTTCGGTTTATAGTCTACTGACAGATCTTGTTTTTCATTTAAAGCTCAGTGTTGTGTTTTTTTTTCCTCAGTCACTGCTAAATGCTGAAAAGTCTTGCCCCAGGTTGAGGGGAGGCGGGCTTTGAAAGATTGAGTTTGAATGACTTCGTGGGAGTTCTGCCTAATAAAGAGTGCAAGGCTGAATTTTGGCAAAAGAGTAGAATATATTTCCTTGATGGCTATAATTCACTAAAGAGGCAAATTTCAGGCACTAAAAATAAAAATTTAACATCTGCTGGGTTTTATTGGGGTCAGGAAAATAGCTTCTCTTAGAAGTTGAATTGAAGAATGGTATAGCAGAGTTGGTTTGCCAGTGACACCATCACTAAACTTGGGGTCAGATTGCTGAGACCTAATTTATTAAAAAGTTGTGCCTTAGACTAGTGCGTTTGAACATTAGTGGTAAGTAGATTTATATGATTAAAATGTATTCAGAATTATTCTAGTGCAAAAGATCATACAAGATAATTTTCCATTTTAAAAATATATACTTTATTAAGTATATTTGACATATCAGATGTACTGCTTCTTTTGCCTTCTTTATCTATTACTCTTCATGTTTCTTAGAACATAGGTGCTTTTTAAATGGTGATTTCAGTTCAAGTAGAAAAGGTTGGAAATTCCTTAGGTGCCCTGACTGATTTGAAAATCAGTGGGATAGCAAAAAGGCAAAAGGCAGTTTTCAACTGCTGCTATTTATTCATTCCAGTGGCTTTCTATAAATGACGTCATTGTTAAATCACGTTGCATTGTGTAATGTGGCCATTTTAGTTCTTAATTAAATAACAAGAGCAGAAGGATGTTTAGTGTTTCAGAAAAGTTTAGTATCTGTTCTGTTCTTCTGTTTTCCTTTTCCTTTAATTGTTCCTTTTTTTGTAATATACATATAAATGTTGCCATTAATAATTTAGTTCTGCCATTCTTTGTTTTCCTTCCTTGAAAATGTTTCAAAATGGAAGGTGAACGTCTGTGGAAAAGCTTCATTACATAATGCTTTGCAAGTTACTTACTGTTATCAGTAAATATTAATAGATAACATTTACTTGAATATTTACTATTAGAATTTTTTTCATTTTTATTTCATTGAAAAACAAACACATTGTTATTTCATGTTTTTTTTACATACAATACATCACAACAGTACTATCTGTCTCTTTCTCTAACATTCAATAGTAGTACACAGGTCCTGGTGTGCTGAAGCATTATTTTAAAATGTGGTTGCCCACGTTAGGACTATATTGATAATACTATGCTAGGTTTTAAGAATTGTTCCCTTTAGAAGATAACTGAAAATCAATTCTGTAAGAAAAA